ATTGTGTAATTTTAACCGAAATATATTCATATCCTTGTATCTGTTATTATGGTAACTAGTCCCTCAGTTATAAAGCTATCGTCATCAAATTTAGCATAGCTCCAATTTTTCTTTTATACAGGCTGGATCGGGACAGTTTATCATATGACACATCTTGGACGAACTTTGCTTAAAGGTGCTTAACTACGCTTCTATGCAAATAATCGCTCGAACAAATTGGTTTTTATATAGACAACTTTGCTGTTTAAGAAATCTTGTTAAAACTACGCAATCTGAAAAACTGTATCAACTCGGACTACTAGATATACGACATAAGATAATGTCTTCTATATTAATAACCGTTCGTATCCACAGGGATATTTAATCTTCAGCATTGTAAAAAGCTTGCATATGGAATTTTCTTTTAAATCAAAGCATGATGTTAATGTATAGTATATATACACATTTATTAGTTAGATGCAATAACTAAGAGTGTGTTTAATTTTTAGTACAGCTTTAACTCGATCATCCGTAATGCTTTAAGCCGAGATCATTTCGGATAGTCCAGAATAAATTATACTATTTCATGAAATACATTAATTAAGAAAATTTTCTATGTTTAATTTTAAGCTTCTGTTAACGTAGATTTACCTTTGTTATCCGTTAGCTAAAGAAATAGCTTACGGATAATAGAGGAATGCGGTGTGGATGATTTTATACCTATGTTAAGTGTGGTCTACCTCTCTTATCCGTTAGCTAAAGAAAACCCTCACGGATAATACAAGCAAATCCCGGTTAACAGAGAAATAACATTAAACACAGACCATCCCGGTTAACATATGTTCCCCTTTCACAGAGATGCGGATAACAAGGCTTAACTGTAGTTCATAAGCAGCATGTAGTTTGCTAAATTGGATAAACATTTTATTTCTTCTTTTTTTAAAGAAATATAATTTACCGAAATTTTGTCGCAACTTGGAACGCAACTTGAAATATTTGAGCATCTGGTGACTTTCAGTTTCCATTTGTCTGTTGGGCTTAAGCCAAGTTTTTTGCGCATACGGCGAGGCTACACTGTAGCTGTCGCTATAGTTTGATTTGACTGACTCCCGGCTGTTACCTTGCCAACTGTTATACATATTTATACGGCAACTGGTATACATGAGCGCGAGACGCTGGCAACAGCCAACTGGGTAAATATCGAAGCAGCAGCCCCTAGAATACAGCTGCCCCACCTGTCCCTCCGCCCATCCTCTTGGAGTGGGAGCTTACCCTCGAAGCTATTCTATCCCCCAACTCCCCTCCCAAAAGTAGTGAGCACCAGAATTCTCGAGCTCTCTTTGTGTTGCCCTGATGCTTGCTATCGCCCCCCTCCCGCACCCCTCCATGTGCGCCCCGTCACTGGACGCGTTGCGTTGTGTGTTGCATCAATGCGTGGCGCGACTCTGCAGCCCAGCAGCATCTGCTGTGTACTGTGAAACATTATCAAGGAGTTGCAGGCAGAGGCAGGGACGCGCCGAGTTGTGTACAGACTGAAATTCAATATGAACACTGCTTCAGGCTTGACGGAACAAAGTACATTAAATTTGTATGCATTAAATTGAAGTATTTTTTTTTATTTTGTTTATCGAGTTCTTTGATTATATTCGCAGTTAACCAAAGCGAATATTAATAAAAATATTTATGTCCATATATGCATATATGTATGTTCCGGATCAGATCAGTGCAAGTGCTTGGGATTTGATTTTCGAACAGGCAAATCTCAAAGTTCAGTTTAGTTAATAAAGGGCGAAGCTCTTAGATTAGCCCAGTTGTTGCCAAAGGCAAAACACACAGAAAATGCACTTGACGCTTCAATTCTCAACTAGTTAAAGATCCGAAATAAAGAAAACGCGTTTGCAGTTAAAGAATTTACTGATGATAGAAGCGAAAGATGCTCCTTCAAAGGTAAATACAGGCAATCTGCTCGTTTCTTTTATCTTGATATCCTGTTGCTTGTTGGTTTTTATTTGTAAAAGAAATATCCAACTTTGACCAGCAGCCAACCAGCTTCATATTAGTAGCTCCTTAATATATATAAAGTTCCAAATTTTTGTTATATGTACTATAATACATTTGTTATATGTGCTATAATACATCGTAATTGTCAGATGTGCCTACCTTTATTTCGTTCCGTTACTTCAGGGTTTTTAAATATATGTATCTTGTGCCGAAAAATACACACAAGCTTTAAAAACATCAAGGTTGTAAATTCACGAAAGGTTTTTAATGCTTCGGTTCACGGTTCAGGGTTCAAGCCAAAGCCTCGTCTTTGGTTTATGAGCGTGGCTTTGTAAAAGAAGCATTCGGTTTATTGTAAATTGAGTAAATTATTGATATATACATTTTTTTTATTAATTAATCGGGCTTTCTTTTTAAAACTCTTCAAAGTCAAATGGTAAGAGAAAGATTCAGCTGTTCTTTAATCCAACTACTACGGCTTAAGTTTCGGTTCAAGTTGCATTCTGGGCTGAATCCGGTTCGGTTTGCAGAGCTGTTAAACATAGGTATTTTTATGAACCGGGTAGCACTAGATAACATGTAAAGTGATCCTAAGTATTCCGCCTTAAGCGGAAAAAGACATTTCATGAATCGATCGAAGATAACGAATATTAATGTAAATTCAAATATTCAATTCGAGAAATTATTCTTGAAATTACCGAATGCCAATGAGTAAAAATCAAAATATGAAGCATGTCAGATATAATTATTTCATATTATATTGTTATTATTAATATTAATATAAATATTATTATTAGTATTATTATTATTATCAATGTATCTATAGATGAAAAACAAAAGTGTTTTTTTTTTAAAGAAACAACAGAGAGAGTCGACATTTTTATATAATTAATTCTTTGTTTTTTAATACTCATAATATTTTTTCTTCACTTCAAGTGAAGGGTGACAAATTGTGATATATTTTCGGTGTACATTGAACCACTGTGCTCGGTTAGGTAATAGTGTCCATGGTTATAGGGAGCGACGGGTGGTGCTTTGTGAGAGAGAGAGAGAGAGAGAGAGGGGGGGGGGGAGGTGCAGGCAAAGGATTGTTGGGTTTGGGTGTGCTAGTCGGTTAGGCGCTTTGTCAACCTTTTTTGGCCGTTCGACTTGCATTTGGTGCAGATTGTCGGGCCGCGCTTTGGATCCAAAGTTGACTTGGATTTGTCGCTGGGCTGTCGTCAGGCGTCGCTAATGTGCGCACGTGTGTGTGTGTGTGTGTGTGTGTGTGTGTGTGTGTGTGTACTGGTGTGTGCATGGCAACGCATTTTCGTTGGTAGTTTCCCAGGGATATATATATATATACATATATTTATATATGTATATATATATATAGATGTGTATCTGTGCGTGGCTGAGTGTGTATTTGTGGGTGGCGAGTGCAGCAGGTCGTGGAATTGCAGAGTTGTAGACGGACAGACAGACAGACAGACAGACGGACGGACGGACATATCAGCATTGCCCCAACATCACCCCGGCATCGCACTTTGCGCATTGCTTTTTCCAGTTACCCTGCCTCAGATACAGATGCAGATGCACAGGCACAGATACTTTTATATATACATGCATGCTATATAGCTACATAGCTGTACATAGGCATCTTTCTATATGTGTGTGTGTGTGTGTGTGTGTGTATGTATGTCCATGTACTCATATGTAAGCCATATATCAAATGAAGAGCTCAACTGCTGCCCGTATTTTTTTCTTTTAATGGGCCACAATTTTCCATTTTCCTTTGAGCTGCGTTTTGGCTTGGCTTCCATTTGTTGCGTTTATATAGGCGCTAACACAGGCAAATATTGCGTATACGCAATGTACTCACTTTGCAAATGGATACCAAAATCGTTGGTGAGAGATTAATGCTACCTTTCTCCAGATTCGGTATATACATATATTAACATAGATACTGGCTGAGATTGTCCGGCTTTGTCAGGGGCAAGACTTGTTTATATATATTCCTGCAACCGCTTCACAATTCGAACGTTTTGACTCCGGGATAAATATAATTCGCTAAAGCTTTGAATTTCTGCAATTCTTAAAGCAAATGGCTGCTAAATACCCTATGTCTTCGAAGTGCTTTTGTACAAACGCTTTTTTTCTGCCAATTATTTCCAGAGGAGAAGAAAGATTCTCCAACTTTATAAAGTTTATATACTCTTGGTCAGCATCAATTGTCGAGTCGATCTAGCCCTGTCCGTCTGTCCGTGCGTCCGTCCGTCCGTATCTATGTGTCAATTCAAGTCTATATACTTGTATCTTATAAGTAGGTCTTCTTAGTGCCCGAGCAGTAATTTAACTTGCCTCGTTTTCAAGCAAGCGATTAAAGTCGAAATCGAAATTAGGTTTTTGTACATATCTCTCAGGTTTTAAGAGCTAGAGTCACCGAATTGGACATGTACTTTCTCTTATAATATGCATAGATGATGCATTATTCCTATCGGAATCACACAACGATGCATAGCCCCAATTGTAAGACTGTTGTCTTCTTGTAAACTGACGATTATTCTGTGGCTCAAAAGGATTTACTCTAGAAAACTTCATCAAGATTGGTTAAGAAATGCAGAAGTTATTAAAAAAAAACGTCAGCGAGCCACCAAATGTGCTAACCCTATTTATGTTAATATCGTGAGATTTATGCAATCAGAGACAGAAATACGCTAGGAATTGATCAATTTAACAGTTCATGAGGGTGCCAAATATTTACTCTGAAGACAATTGAATCTAGAGTATGATGACTTGTACGCCTGATCTGCAATGGAATATAGAAATACGTATAGATCAAATCTTAACCATATTTTTTGGGATCTTTTAAGGAGATGTTAAAATTTCTTTTTGATTGCAATGCCATTTCTGCAAATCAAAGTTAATGTAAGCTTTTACTTCAAATACGTTCTCTCATGATTTGCTTATATGATCCTTTAAGTTATATTGTGTAAGATCGTGGGTTCAAGGAGTACCTGCAAAAATAAGCAATAGCTACATTGATGGCAATGCATTTTATTATGTTCTTGAATTATCAGATGTGCGGTCTACAATGCTGATTTTTTTAACGTGGTCTTTTTTTCGTCCTTGGATAACGTTTGCACAGGCTTGATCTTCTTCTTTTGTTTAGGGTCAACGGTGACACTTTTGTTTGTTTCGGATGTTTTCATTGGAACATTGGATGGGTTAGTTTCGTGGTTAAGCATGGTCACTTTAGAGCTAGACTTTGGTTTGGGTATTTTAGATGCGAGCTGTGGACGGGGCAATATCTCTGCATCAACTTTATTGCTATTAAATAAAGTAAATAGTTTGTGATCTATGTCTATTAAATGAAAAATGTTTCAACGTACATTATCCGATCTTTGTTGTTCTTCATATACTTTTTAGTTAGTTCCGTCAGTTTGGTATTTGCCATTTCCAGCCGTTCGTGTTCCATTTTCCATTCCTCGCTGATTTCTTCAGTTCTCTTTCCTATTTTCATTGTACGTTCCCACAATTTGTTTAACTAATTGCAGGTATTTCGTCATCATAGATCTGTGCAAGATTATAAACCGAATCGATTCTCGAACTACTTGCCTGGCGCCTGTAATGCTTCAGCCTACAACGGTTGTCACGACTCTTATCCTCATCCGTATCTATATCACTATCCTCGTCAGAGTCCCTATCGCTATCATCGCTTTCCGGCAGAGGCTTGACGATCATATTCCCTTCCTGTGTATTCTTTTCCATGTTGATAGACCTTATTATGTTTTATATTTTGCTTCCAGCTTACAGTTTGAACATTAAGACTCAAAAAATATACTTTGACTGATAATTTCCACGATCTAACAAAAATATTGGCTATGTTTCCTATACTTGCCTGCTGGGTTCAAATTTTTTTCTTCAAAAAGAAACGCTTACTGAAAAACAAATTGAAAAATACCAGAAATCGATATGAATCGATTTTGGGGAAAGCAGACAGGTAACAATCCGTTAATAGCATCTCTTTTTAAGTTGGCACCTCCGATCTAATAAAGAACACATTATATATGTCATATAATACATATGTTATATATATAACTTTTTTGTTTACCATGGGATCGGCCTCAAACTTATTTTCAAAGATCTTTGTTCAAATTCATTTGAGGGGTGTTTCACACTTTTAGGAAAATGCATTCCTCCTTGGTGGAAATAGAGGTCAAAGATTTGGTGGGTGACGTTTCGCAGCTCAAATTCATTTCCAGAGATCTATTAGAAAAATCATTTGAGACGTGTTTCACACTTTTCGCAGAATTCAAACTTCTTCGGGAGGAATGCGATTTAAAGATTTTTTGGGCGAAGTTTTAGGTTGTGTCCGATTTGCTTCAAACTTATTTTCAAAGCTCTCAATAAGAACGTAATGAATACGTATTTGGACGATTTGGAAAATTCCACCCGCAACAGTGGTAAATTGGCGGAAAACGGTTGTATGAAAGTTTTTTGTTTACCATCCGATCGGCTCCAAACTCATTTTGAAAGATCTATGTTCAAATTCATTTGAGGGGTGTTTCACACTTTTTGAAAAATCCATCCCTCCTTGGTGCAAATGGGGGTCGAAGATTTGTTGGATGACGTTTTGTGTTCAAATTTATTTACAAAGATCTATAAGAAAAATCATTAGAGACGTGTTTCACATTTCTCGCAAAATCTAACTCCTTCGGTGGAAAATGCATTTTTAAGATTTTTTTGGTGAATTTTAAGAGTTTTCCGATTTGCATAAAAGTTGTTTGATTCCCGTCCGATCAGTTTCAAAATCATTTTCAAAGCTTTTTTGATTTTATAACATACGTGCCAAGGGCAAGGCCGGGCTACACCCGCTAATATATATATATATATGTCTACTGACTGACTGACTGACTGACTGACTGACTGACTGACTGACTGACTGACTGACTGACTGATTGGTGATCAACGTACAGCCCAAACCGTAAGAGCTAGGAAGCTGAAATTTTCACTGTAGCTACCTTATGTGATGTAGGTGCACGTTAAGACGGGGTTTCGGGAAATTCAACCCGCAAGTGTGGAAAAATCGCGAAAAACGTTTGTATGTAACTTTTTTGTTTACCATCCGATCGGCCCCAAACTTATTTTCAAAGATCTTTGTTCAAATTCATTTGAGGGGTGTTTCACACTTTTAGGAAAATGCATTCCTCCTTGCTGGAAATGGAGGTCAAAGATTTGGTGGGTGACGTTTCGCGCTCAAATTCATTTCCAGAGATCTATAAGAAAAATCATTTGAGACGTGTTTCACACTTTTCGTAGAATTCAAACTTCTTCAGGGGGAATGCGATTTAAAGATTTTTTGGGCGGCGTTTTAAGTTGTGTCCGATTTGCTTCAAACTTATTTTCAAAGCTCTCAATAAGAACTTAATGAATACGTATTTCGACGATTTGGAAAATTCCACCCGCAATAGTGGTATATTGGCGGAAAACGTTTCTATGAAAATTGTTTGTTTACCGTCCGATAAGTTTCCAAATCATTTTCAAAGCTTTTTGAGAACGTTGATTTTTAACATACGTTCCACGGGCAAGGCCGGGTTATACCCGCTAGTATGTACATATATATGTATATATATATACATATATGTATATACATATATATATACATATATATATACATATACATATATGGAAGAACACATGTATATTACTCGGAGCTACATTTTATTTCGCTTTCATTAATTTCATCGTTTTTCGGAAATCGATAATTATCGATGTTTTGTTTTTGAGCTTGTTTGGTCGGTTTTAGATGCTTACAGATAACACATCTGGTATGCGGATTCTCGTTTGGGATTAAGGATATTTCACATTTTTGGAAATTATTAATTATCGATTTTAAGCTTAAGAATTTGACCTGATTGAGATGGTTTAATAAGCATATAAACAACAAATTCAGTATACGGGCCATAAGAGATTGAGAATATTTAAGTTTTTCGACACAAAATTAAAAAGTAAACGTGTTTTTTAGAGCTATTTATCATTTGGAGGTCAATTTGTGAACATTTTATAAAGAGCGGACTATAAAATATTGGGAAAAGACGCACGAAGGCATATTTAATGCAATATACAGGGTATCTCAGGTGCGCACGCTCAACTCGATATCGTGTACTCTATACATATATAGAGTTTTTCAAGTCGTCTATATAAAATTGAAGAATATGTTTAAAATAAATTTCGATAAATTTGAATGTTATTATTATTATTGTTTTTTCTTATTATTTTAATCAATATAACTTTTGATACAACAAGATGTTCGGCTTGGCCAGCTCTAGGTCTTAGATTTTGGTCCTTTATATCCAGGTGATGAGCTAGATAAATTGTGTTTTATTTAATTTTAAACCTACGAGAAAAAAGAATATATTCGGCACGCCGAAGATTTAATAGGCTCGTGATTGATGAGTTTGATGAAAATATCTTAGCATCGATCGTTCCTTGGCAGCAATATGATATTGTGGTCCGATCAGACCGGTTTCGACATATGTATGTACTGCCTGGAAAGAAAGTCGGACCTGTGCAAAGTTTCAAGACGAAAGCTTATAAACTGAGAGACTAGTTCGCATAGAAACAGACAGATGTATAGACGGACTATGGCTTTATCAACTCGACTGTTGATGCTGATCTAGAATATATACATATGCTTTAAAATTAAAATACCCTCTGCAAATGTATAAAAATCCAAGACCCAGAGTCTGCCCGACAACCAAAAATCTTCTAAAACTAAGAAATAGGTCACCAAATCCCAACAATAGTTAGTTATTAATACTGTTAACAATATATTTATCATTTTATTTATGATTTTTCTTGTTTTAATTATTAAATAAATTTATAACATTTTGCAATAGCAACAAATCGTTAAGAGTAGGCGTGGCCTCACACATATGAGCCACATGCAAAAAGGCAGCAGGTGCCACTTTGGCGCTGCGGGGGATGGTGTAATGGACTGTCTGTGGATGGAGATGAGGACGTGTGGGGGGGGGGGGCTGAATATAAGGACAGAATGCAGAAGTAGGTAGGAGGCCTTTCTAATAACATATCGCTAACATGCACGCAATGTGAGTAAGCGCAAAGGGGAAGAAGCACAGTAGAAGAAAAGCCAATGGAGTTGTGAAGGGGGAGGTGGGCGGGGCATGGAATGGGCATTGGGACGCTGCGTTGCGTTGTGTTGTTGTTGGCGTGTGTAAAGTCGGCTGAGGGCTGGTTGGTGGGGCTGGTGTTTGGGGGTTAAGTGCAAAAGTTGCACAACACAAAAATTGAATTTTTAATTTGCTCGCATAGCGCACAGCAACAAGAAACGCAGCACAAAGCGGAAACGAAAGAGGCGAACAGAGAGACACGAGAACTAACGGAGGGAAAGAGAAAGCTAGACATGGAGAGCTGATGCAAAACGATGAAAAGTTGACTTCTACGAATAAAGCGAAGAACAGAAACAAGAACAACAACAACAACAACAACAACAACAACAACAATTGCACACGACGAATATGAAGGGAAACGCAAGCCAGAAATAAACTTTTTACATTGAAGCACACACACACGCACGCAAATTAGTGTACGTGTGTGTGTGTGAGTATGTGTGAATCTACTTTAACGTTTTCATATATATGTTTGTACATACTAACATATTTATGTACTCCCATCGCATGTTACCACCCCCTCCAGCTCCCCCTTCCCCTCCACCCTCCTAAAAAAGAAAAGTTGAGTTTCCCAGTTCCGAGTTGAGTTTCATTTTTACGTTCGATTTCGTATGGCGTGCAGTTCAGCCTGTAAAACAAAATGTATTCGCAAATACCCAAAACACAGTTTCGGATTGCCCGACTACGGATACCCTACACATTGTTTTGAATTGCCCGATTACGAGATACCCTACACATAGCTTTGAATAGCCCGACTACGAGCTTAACTACACACAATTTCGAATCACCGGACTATGGGATACCCAACACGCAGTTACGAATTGTCTGGCTACGTTACCCTACACATAGTTTTAAATTGCCCGACTCCGAACTTAACTACACACAGTTTCGGATTGCCTGACTACGAGATACACTACACATAGTTTCGGATTGCCTGACTACGAGATATCCTACACACAGTTTCGGATTGCCCTAATATGAGATACCCCGTGCATTCAGCACTTCTAAGCAACATATTTACGAAATCATAGTATGTAAACTTAAAATTTTGTAAAACTTTTTTTGAACAACTTCATTTATTCGTTTTTTTATACCCTGGAAATGTTGGAAATGGGTAAAAATGGTACAATGTTGTTGTCTAAATGTATGTAACAGGCAGAAAGAAGCGCCTCCGATACCATAAAGTATATATATTCTTGAACAGCATCAATAGCCGAATCGATCAAGCCATGTTCGTGTGTCCGTATGTATTAACGCAAGGATCTCAGAGCCTGTAAGAGCTAGAGACTTGAAATTGAACGGAGGTCCTGCTAGGGCCCGCGCAGTGCGGGTTTATTTCCGATAATCGATAACTTGCCTCGTTTGCAAGCAATCGATAAAAATAGATATCGAAATCGTGTTTTTTTGGTTTTAGCCTCTAAAATAGTATATATACGTGAAGTATCTATCTAGAAGAGCTTTCTTCAAGCTATCCCCTATCGACCTGATCCTTTTACTTGTTTTCTGTTACCCTTTCTTTGACTAACCTATGTTAATATTAATACTTATAATTTTTTTCAATGAATTTTTATGTATATTATTGTATTATCCTTTGGCCAGTTTTCTGGGATGTATTTTGGGTTCTCAAATACATTCAGACAAAAATATGGCATTCGTATGTGTGTAAATCCATTTTTTGGAAACGGGAAGAGGTTTCCAAAGCGTCATCTGTATAAAATACAATAGGAACATGCTTAATTTCAAGTCTTTTTCCTATAAGCTCTATGCTATGTATGACCAATAACATTGTTAAAAAATCGATATTTATCGATTAAGTCTATAGCTCTCATTGTTGACGATATTGAGGTCTTTATAGAAACGGACAGGTGGACGCGTGGCTAGATGCCTCAGCTCGTCGTCCCTATTTTGTAACCGTTTTCAATTATTACTTATTTAAGAGATACGAATTTTTCATTTATTATTTTCCAAAAACTAAATACTGACAAGAAAATGTAAAACCCTTAAATAATGTTTCGATTCCATGTGATAAAGTGGACCCATTTGATATGTTTTAGCAGATATAAATAGCTGCAAATTGCTTAGATTGATCAAGAAATTGTTGTATACAAATAGGGTAATTAATGAAAGTAATTCTCTGCTATGTGTAACAAAGCTGTCTACCCATAATTGAGATCACTCTTCTTCTTCTTTGAAGTTTGCCACATTTTGAACAAGTTTTATGCCACATGGCAAATACGAAGCTCAGCGAAATTCCAGTTGCAAGTTCCTTAAAAATCCATCTTAAGTAGCTGTGTCCTTGAACTGTGCCAAACGATTGAAGCCGATCCGATTGGATCGCATCTGATCGCAACTCGCCATAACAATTTCTATGTATGTGTGCGTGTGTGTGTGTGTTTGTGTGTGTGTGTGTGTGGGAGCGGGCAGCGGGCGGAGCGGAGGGTCTCTGGTTGCTGTTGTTTTTGTTTTTGTTTTGTCTACCTGCCTGCAATCGCAACGTATTGCTGTTGTTTTTGTTGGTCAGTTTTAATCGCAGCAACTGGCTGTATGTATACAATTGAGATACGCCCGACCAGGCCCCGCTGCCCCGCTGCCCCTCCCTTCACTCGCTGCACGTTGCCTATGTATGCCAGGCAAGCGCACAACCTTCCCGCCTCCTACCCCCGCAGCCCCATGTTGTTTGTTTCCACTGTCGCTGCTTTTGACTTTTGCATTCGTTTGTTTTGTGCTCGCTGTTTTGTCGCGTCTCGTTGCTGGTCAGTTTGTTGTTGTTGTTGTTGTTATTGTTGAGTTGCCTCATAGCGAATACAACAGCAACAACAGCAACAACAACAACAACAGCTTCAATTGCGCACTTTGCGTTGCGATTTTCAACATCTCAGTGGCTGCTGGCTGGCTGCTGTTGCCTAGGTTCACATTCTCATTACAGTTCATTCACCCAAAAGATACGGCTTTATGTATCTATTAGTTATGTATGTGCTGCTGCTGCGGCTGCTGCTGGCCATGTGTAGAGGCTGCGAGTGGCAGCAACAGAGCCAACGGCAACCAACAACAAAATGCTGCACCAGCAGCAGCAGCAGCAGCTTCGGCCTGCACTTTCAGCCAAGTTTTGATTTGTGAGTTATGTTGTAGACACACACACGCACACACACACACACACACACACACACACGTACACACTTACTCACGCACACAGCTTCAACTCAACGTAGGGTCAACTGTGTGTATTACATCGTCTCTGCTTCTTCCTAGGCTGCAATTGTTTTTCTCACATGTCTTAAAGCTACCGCTGAAAACTCTTTTTATAACTTTTGTCAGCCAACTAATCGCATTTGCATTTCTTTCTCACTCACTCTCACTTATATACTCTCTCTATTTCTCACTCCCTCTCTCTCTCTCTCTCTCTCTCTCTCTTTCTCTTTCTTTCATTGCAGGTGAGTTTCTCTTGCAACTAGAACCAATTTCCAGCTGAAATCCAGCCATCCAATGAATCGGGCCTACGCAAAAAAAAAAAAAGAAAAGAAAAGAAACAAATCAACAAGCTGTTGCATTGTCTGGCGGCACTGCAAACGTGGCAGGCATATGGATTTGGTGAGCGTGTTTGTAACAGTTACGAAATAAGCGTTAAAAGCTTGACCCTACTTTGGTATACATTCATTTTGTTTTGTATTCAGTTGTATCGATATCGAAAATGTCGACTTGACCGAGATCTGAACTGAAAATCAGCCCCAACGCGCCCAAGAAGTGTACAAGTTTTTTCGGCGTTGGCAAGGCTGCTTGGCAAAGCCTCTTACCTGATGCCTTGCCGCATTTGGTCACACTTCCCACTACGCGGGCAAAAGTAGTTACAACCTGGGCAACCCCAAGATGGGCTTGGCTAGATCTAAGCCCATTTTTCACTTTAGTTAACATTTCTATTAAAAAATCTTCTGTTGGCATGGGCGAATATCTTAGGAAAAGAATATGTGGAACATGGTTATTTATAAAGAGTCCTATTTCAAAGGCGAGAAAATTGTATACCAAGAGTATACCAAAAACTTCCAAACGGTTTTTCTAATGGGCAACAAATTTAAGGGCTGGGGTTTTTTTTATAATTATTTTTTTGTTTGTACTCCGAATGAAATTTGTCCATTTTAAAATATTGAGCCAAACTTTACAGGGTATTTCCGAAACCAACTAAAATATCTATTGGAACTTTTGTTAATTTTTGTTCTTTGTAGCTTTTGTTCCTTTGGTCAGTGCAGGCAGCATAACAATAGATAGAAACAAGAATGACACCATTCGAATCAGGTGGATGTCAGTTTGGGCTTCACCCCCCCCCCCCCCCCCCTCCCTCCGTCTCACTCTCTCTCTCTCTCTCTCTAGCTCACCATACCCCTCAACTGCTTAACTCCTGCTGCAGCCTTTGAAACTCGCCAAACGCAAAAAATGTTCGTTTCGTTTGCAATTTATGGTTTTTTTCTTTCCTTTTTTTTTTGTACGGCGCTTCGCTTAGTTTTATGTTACGTGGGCGAGAAACAGAAGGAGGTAGGGAAGCGAAAACAGGAAAACAGATATACACACACATACATACACATATACATATATATATTTATGTATATATATATATGTATGTATATCGCGCAGCAGCCGTAACAACGACTGCGACGTTGACGTTGACGGCGACAGCGACGGCAACGGCGACGGCGACGGTGACGGTGACGGTGACGGTGACGGTGACGGTGACGGTGACGGTGACCACCGTGGTCGACAACGCGGCATCGCCCGCTGAAATCGGTTCGGTTTAGTTTTCCAATGCACAAACAGGGTGCCTAGTCAAAAAGGGGCGATGCGATGCGATGCGGGCGGGCCCAGCCAATTCCAGTGTGTATTTAGCAAATGTTGTTGTAGCTTAGTTTCCACTTCCAACAACAGAAACAACAACAACAACAACAACAACAAGAACAACAGCTAAGGCTCTGAAACTACAGAGCCGGCTCGCTTCGTTTTTGTGTCTATTATCACACACACACACACACACACACACACACACAGACATACACTGCCAACAAACACACACACAGCCTCGGCAACAGCAGCCTCAAATGCATTGGCCTAAAACCCGCTTGCCCCATGCCCTGCTACCCCCTCCCCCTCACTGCGCTCCCGTTTTAGCGTTTTGGTTTTGTGCTACCTTCCCTAATATTCATGCTCTGCCCTCTCTCTACCTTATTGCTACCCCTGCCCCCCTCTTGCCCCCTGCACCCATCCACTCCCATTCCAGCTTAGTTTTAGTTTTGGGTATACATAAATCAGCAGCTACCATTCGATTAGCATTTCGCCAGCGATTTGTTGGCCAAGCGAATGGCTTTAATGGTAGCTGACAGCAGCCGGCAAATGGCAGCACCGCACAATTACTACTAGCCATATGCGCCTGTCTGGCAACGCCACGAAATTTATGCAAATAGTTTAGTACAAAGAGTTCACCTATTGCCATGTCTAGTGCATAATAATAATTTCTAGTTATTCGGCATGCACGAACTTAAATACCCTTTAGGCTTAAAAGTAGTTTTTTTTTTACAAACATTTCCGACTGTTCCTTTGGTACCTTATGATAAAGTAGTCCGATGTTAATACAACTTCGGTTATATGTTAGGAGCACAGGGACTGGACGGTACCTTTATTTATAAGAAAGAGATAAAAATAAAGAATCAAATTAGTTGGTGCATTCCAAAGGCAATAAGAAGATTGTTGGTGCATTCCAAAGGCAATAAGAAGATTGTTAAGTCAAATGGAAGCAAGGAATATATATTAACTTTTAAAAACGAAACTAACTCCGATCAAGAAATACCTTTAAATTCAATTGCATTTTAGTTACCCCATATTCTTTAATACTAGCGGTATATTTACCCTCGTTAATTTAAATTATCATAAATTAATTCGAGACTCTTAACATGTTAATATATTGCACAATATTCTCATTAGTATTCAGATTGTCAAGTGCCTTAAGGTTAAATACATTATTTTTTTAATTTTTATTCGTAACTTGTCATTCGTTCCTTTTTACTCGTTACTTGTTACTCGCTGAAATAACTTGAATATGCTGCCTCAACTTCCATGCAAAGCATTCAATTTCTCTCTATTTTTGACTTATTCACGCTCTATGTACACACATCTATATACATATATATATATATATATCTATGCACACACACCTGCATTTGTATATATACAGTTAATTTATATGCGTGTGTTGGTTCAGTTATCTATATAGCTGTCGCTGTCTCTGTCTGCAACAACTCTCAACCCCCGGGCCAAAAAAAAATTTGGATGCCGAAAATGCAGTTGGAGCGCCATCTGTCGATGCAAAATGCAAGCAATTGCGTCGTGTCTTTGTGTATGCGTGTGCTCTGTGTGCTCTGTGTGTTTGTGTGCGTGTGTGTGCGCGCGCGTGTGTGTGTGTGTGTGTGAACAATAAGCCAAAAACCAGGAAGCATATACCGAACCCCGGCATTTTGGTATTAACAAGCTCGACAACGACAACAACAACAAGAGAACACGAGAATCCAGATTGTCGTCGCCATCGCCATCGCCATCGCCATCGCCATTGCCATTGCCAGCGTCAGCGTCGTCGTCGTCGTCGTCGTCATCGTCGTCGGAGGTGGCTGCCGAAAATTTTCCACGATTTGGCAACATCCGTGGCAACAGCGAGTGCTGATTGAATGGCAGCGCCGACCGTTGCCCGTTGCCAGTTGCCAGTTGCCAGTTGCCCGTTTCCCGTTAGTTGCGTTAGCCATTGCCGAAGCCTTATTCCCATTGTCCTCGTCGTTGGCACTTTGCAATGTTATTCATGTGCAGCGCGCGCGCATAATGCATCACATGCAAGTCACACACACACACACGCACGCACACCCATACACACACACACGCACACACACATGCAGCTCAATGAACCTATCACACAGCCGCACACACACAAGCCTGGACTTGTCGCTGCTCATAAGACAAATGCTGCATTCACACAGAATGTGCCGAACAGGTGCCACGCCCCACAGCCCAGCCATAAAACAATTATAGATACTTATGTATTAGCTTATTTTCCCAGTGTCCTTCGCACCAACTCGCTTCCAATCGACAGCATGTGGGCGCCCGGGCAGGGACTTCACTTCGTTAAGTTTGCCCCAAATAAACTATAAATATAAACAATTATTTTGCGAGGGCATCCCACTTGCGTCCTTGCGCATCCAGCTCGCTTTCAACCCATAACGTTGGGGCAGGGACCCGAGCAGAGACCTGAGCGGGGCCCTGATTCCATTACGTAGAAAGCAGCACCCCTCAAAAATGTCATATGCTTTGACCTTTGGTATGGATTGACGTCAATTATCCTATAACTCTTAAACAAAAGCTTAAGCAACATTAACCCAAACAACGTGATGCCATTCGATACTCTGCATACGACATGCAACATAATCAACGCAGTTGAACGCGCTTACGTAGTTCTTGCATCAATCAGGTATCACATAACTCAAGACATTTTTAAAAACAAAAATACAATTAATAACAAAATAATTCAATTATTCTCCATCTGACGTAACTTATTGCACCCTCGGTGCAAACTGCGCAACTGATTGAAGTTACGTAAAGCTTATTGGCATTATAAATTAATTTCTACATTTTGAGATTTATTACCAATCAAATATGGGATAGTATTTCATGTTACGTCGCGCTCTCATCTTATTAACTTAAACATTGCTTTACATAACATAACTTAAGATAATTCTTAGCTTGTTTACTTACATATATAATCTGCAACTTAAGCATGTACTAACAAATTCTTATAAGCCCCCAAGTGCTGAACTTTTTTACACATTGATGTAACGTAACCTTTTCTTGTTCACACTTAACTTTAAACAGTTGAAGCTAATTACTTAGCTAAAGGGCTAACATATGCGATGGTGACTTTACGGAATTTAACGTACCGCAACGTTAATATACGTAAAATAATTGGGTTAATCTGAAATCCAAAAGATTTCTCTATGCACTGAGATATCTCCCTAATCCATTCATCAATATATATTAATGCTGCGTACGGGGTTTAACGTCTTCGGTTATGTTTCTTACGTGCTCATATCGTAACGTTTATTTTAAATTATACGTAGCGGATTGCTACGACTCTAAGCTAATGTGATACGGCATTTTGTGTAACATAGTGTAGTGTAGACTTTTCCTTATATAAATCGTTTAACGTTTCGTAACGCAGCTTTTATGTACGTAATATAAATAAGTTCATTTGAGCTAATTCGTTATTTGTTTCTCCTATACGCATAGATCTTACGTAAGTCATCATATTTGGTTATGTTCTAGTCTTACGTATTCAAGTTATACGTTTCAGAATTCTACATTACTATTTGGGTAGTTGCTCTATGGGTTCATTTTTCCACATTTTCTGGAACGTAACTCGTTTTACGCAACTTGCACGTATTAATTCGACATAAATCTTTTTTTAACGTGTATGCTAAGGTCTATTACCTATTTAATCACGTATTAAAATTCTA